AAAAGGTGCCTTTCCGTGCAGGATTGCAGGAAGCCTCCGCCCGTATAATGAACAAGCAGCCTACGCAGAGATAAATGACAGCTGTGACTGAAGGAATAAACAGGATAATCTGGATTTAAATAAGTCACAAAGGGGTGGGGGGTGGGCTGGCAACATGCAAATTCGCAAATTTATAAAATGTATCCTTTCAGAATTAAGAGCTTGTTTGAAGCCAGCAGTTAAGAGCCATTATTCAGCCACCTTCTTTTCCCCCTCAAAGGCATTTCGGAGCCAGCCTTCACTGCCGCAACCAGGGACGGGAGACAAATTTCCTCCCGCTTGCAGATAAATAATATGTGCCCTAAATGGAACAGAGAGGTGGGCTGTTCCGACAGGAGAGGAATTATCCCATCAAGTTTTCCTGCCTAAGGCAGGGTCATAATCCAGGGAGGATATTGGAGCTTCGCATATAGAGGATGAAGGCACCGTCAGCCCCTCTGAGCACCCCAGGAATACCCCCAATATACCAAGAGACTTCTGGGCCCCATTTCAATGCAGAGGAGCAGCAGCATCTGGGGGCGTCACCATCAGGCTTCCCAGAGCCCAAAGCAATGGGTGCAGCTGACCTAGAGGGCTGTGGGGAGGTCTGATTGCCAAGGGGAAGGCTTGAGTGCCCACCAGCTCCTGCATTTGGATTGCAGTGCCAGCTAATCAAATATTTGGCCAGCCAGAGCAGCCAATGACCTTCTCCAATAACTCATGAAAATTACAAGGAGGGATGCGGTGAGAACGGAAGAGCATGAGGTTTTTTCTGCTCTGCTGGCCTCTCCCTTTTATTCATGAGCCCTGCCTCTGTGGCCCCAGGAGGGAGAGAGAGGCAGACATGGTGGGACACTGTGCAATGGGCCCCCAAAATGCCCTCCCAGGCGTACACACACACACACACACACACACACACACACACACACACACACACTCCTTGCATCAGTCCTCAAGATGCACAGCCAAGATGACTTGCCTGAGCTCAGTTGCTCCCTTTCTGGAAAAGGTGGCAGCATAGGTGCCAACTTTCTGGGGCCCTGGCTGCCCAAGCACCCACAAAATTCCCCATGAAAGGGCTGGGAACCCACAAATTTCGGTGCCAGGGCCCTGCACGATTCATGGCACCCATGCATAGCTGTCAACTGTTCCCTTTTTTTAAGGGAAATTCCCTTATTCCAAATAGGATTCCTCGCAAGAAAAGGGAAAAGTTGACAGCTATGCACCCACGGCCCTGGGCACCCACAGTCATGGGGCCAAGCTGGCACTCCTGGGTGGCACCCTGTGGGATGTAAACACAGGAGCAGTCAATAACAACATTCCTAGAGTGTACATGTTAGTACATGGGGAGGGATGTCTGTCCAGCAAGCAGGTAAACTTCCTGGGGACGGACTTCCTCCACATGTGACCAGAGGTGGGTGTGGCCTCACCTGTGCAGGTAATCACAAAAGCACAGGGCAGGCAGCCATCTCTCTCTCTCTGCCATTTTCCTTCGATGAGGAAGCATGTAAAGATGCCCTCTTGGCTCTCAGCCAAGAGAGGAGATAAGGTCTATCTTGCAACAAGATAGATTCCAAGTATATGTAACTTTTTAAGCCTGTCTGCCTTCTGGGATCATGTTGTGAACAGAACGTGAGTAAACTCTTTTATACTTTTATAAAGACTGTGTTGTGTCTTGTATTTTAAGAGGGAATAAAGGGGAAATTACCAGAGTAATTATTATAGAGGTTCTAGCGAACCTGTGCACACGTTACCGTTGTGTACTTAAAGGGGAATGTCTATAAACTCTGCTGATATTTTGGGAACTTGTTAGCACAAGTTGGTTAAGGATATAATTAGTCAATATATCCTCTTCTGCACCCCAGAACATTCCCACACACACTCCCTTTTGCATGGAAGCACTGGCTTCATTTAGGGGACCGGGGAGCAAGCTAGACCTCACTTGGGTGACTTTGCTGTTTGCAAACAGATATGGGATCCAGACCTCCACAACATTCAAAAGGAATAGTGACGGAAAGGAACTAAGCCCCCCGGCTAATTTCACTGAAAAATGGCTGCTGCCCATGTTTCCCTACTGTAATGTTGCTTAGTGGCTGACTGAAATTATTTTGTCTTTGGCATTAGCATCATCCCTTGATGTTGGCGAGGGTCCTTCCCTCTCCTTCCTCTTATTGCATCACAGACAGCAGGAAGATTTCCTGGGAGGAAATGCTGAGCTCACAAGGCTCCTCCAGGACCACCTGTTAGAGGCTCCCTCTGCTGTTTCTGGCCTATTGCTTCCTATGCTGTCATTGCTGCCTGCCACTGTTCCGTTGTACCCAGCTAGAGGTTGCTGCTCCTGCTGACCCTGCTGATACCCCAGTCATCCAGGGACCAAGGCCCCAGGCCAGCAGAGGCTCCCCAGGAGCACCACTGCCACTTTGTCACTGCAGTAAAATGCTTGCAGTGCTCCTAACACCGAGGGTTCTTCTCCAGAAAGAGACATTATAGGCGAGGTGGCCACAGACAGCACTTGTTCAAAGTTTCACACTTTGTTGTGGTTCCTGACTGCATTGATTTAAATGATGGGATTTCTGCTATTTATTGACTGGCATTGATTTTTATCTGTAATTTTTTATGGTGTTTTAATCTATGGGGGTTTTGCCTTCTGGCTGTGATGTCTCCAGACCACTTAGAGATTTCCCTTTTGGAAATGCCCAGAAGTATATGAATAATCTAAAACCAAACAGTTAATTCAACCTCCAACAGTATTTGCCACTGCAGAAATGGCAGAGGTGCTGCACAAAGACATGTGATCAACAATGCCTCACTCTGAGGAAGGACCCTGAGAGCCTCAGATTGAGGTGGACAGAAACATAGTGGAGGCAGTGATAGGGAAAAGGTGGGGGGGGAGCATGGAAGAGCCAGCTGTGATGGGTGCTAGAGCTTGATGGGTGGCAGCAGAAGCAGCCTCTGGTAGCAAAATGCCTTTCATATGGATGCCTCTACATCATCTTCCTCTCGAAAAAATGCTGGACATTTCGGAGCCAGATAACGCCTCACTTTTCAAAAAAGTCCTGAGGGTTCTCCTATCCTGCAGCTTAGGCTCCCCACCCCCACCTCCCACCCCCCAAAAAACAACCCCAGAAGCTACCAGAGCAGAGCTGGATCTGGGGGATGCCTGTCTGTCATCTGTCATCTATCTATTTCCATTTACAGTGGTACTTCAGGTTAAGAACTTGATTCATTTTGGAGGTCCGTTCTTAACCTGAAACTGTTCTTAACCTGAGGTACCACTTTAGCTAATGGGGCCTCCAGCTGCTGCCGCGTCACTACTGCACGATTTCTGTTCTCATCCTGAAGCAAAGTTCTTAACCCGAGGTACTATTTCCGGATTAGCGGAGTCTGTAACCTGAAGCGACTGTAACCTGAAGCGTCTGTAACCGAGGTACCACTGTATATTCCACCTTTTTCTCCAAGGAGTTCTCCCCTTCCTCATTTAATCCCACAACAATCCTGTGAAGTAAGTTAGGCTTCGAGGCGGTGACTGGCCCTCAGTGAGCTTCATGACTGAGTGGGGATTCAAACCTTGGTCTCTCCTAAGTCCTAGTCTGACACTACACCAAACTGGCCATGCCAGTAGCCATTTTCTCTGGTTGTTGCCCAATTACGTCTGAGCAGCTGACTAGGTCCAAATGGGAATCCACAGAGCGTCATCATAAACATTCCAGTCTGCTACACCCTCCAGAGGGGCATCTGGAACGCTGGTGGACCCCCTTCTGCTCTACCCTTCCCTGGTGGGCTGGGCCAGTCTTTGCATTGCAGCTGCCATGGTGCGCAGGCAACCGCCTTGCCAAGGAGCTCCGTGCAGCTCCGCGACTAGTGAAGTGGCAAGCAAGTTCCTCCTGCCTCATAAAAAACACTTTGCAGAGGAACCTCAAAACCCAGCAGCAGTTAATTATTGACAGAGCATGTGAATTAGAGATAAAAGAAAAGTCATTCCTCCTTTGCACGCAAGATAGTAAATAAATTTAATTATGGGACAAGAGGCAGGGGATCTTCGTCTGTATTAAGTTTTATTAGCAGAGACATTTAAAAGCATGTCATCATAACAAAAAGGTCTTGTGTAATCCTAAATGTACCACTTTGGTACAAGGCTCTGAAGTGAATAGGCTTAATTGAGCAGATGGCTTGCTGCTCAGGCAGGTATGGGACAGGTTTATTGTCAATTAACTTTTGTCTACATATGCCTATGGCAAATTGACTGTATAATGGCTTCCTGAGGCCACTTTTAACACTTGCCATGCCCTGGAGCTCAAAGACAAGGGGTGGCCAAGCTCTATCTTCTGTTGCAGTGAAGGGCTGAGAGCACTAGCCTGTTGGATCAATGACCCATCTAGTCCAACGTTCTGTTCTCACTGTGGCCAACCAGACGCCCCCATGGGAAACTCACAAACAGAATTTGAGCACAAGAGCTCTCTCCTCTCCTGTGGTTTCCAACAACTGGGATTCAGAAGCGTTAATGCCTCTGATTGTGGACCCAGAGCATGGCCATCATGGCTAGTAGCCATTGATAGCCCCCTCCTCCATGAATTGCTCTAATGCTCTTTTAAAACCATTCAAGTAGTTAGTGGCCATCACTGCCTCCTGGGGAAGGTTGAGTTCTACAATTTAACTATGTGCTGTGTTCAGAAGGTCTTTCTTTTATCTGTCCTGAACCTTCAGCTTCATTGCATGTCCAAGAGTTCTAGTGTCAGGAGATATGCCATGCATAATTGTATAAACCTCTATGAGGTCACCGCTTACTCGCCTTTTGTCTAAACAGCCCCAAATGCTGTTCATAGGGGAGCTATTCCATCCCCTTCATCATTTTAGTTGCCCTTTTCTGAAGTTCTTCCAACTCTGATGTTGTGCTCAGGCTGATCCTTTGGCAGGTGAGTGGGACATCCAGGCACTGCCTTTATCTGTGGCCAACAAAACTCCTCTTTTCTCTTGCCCTCTAGGGATGTGATGCCCAAGACTCTGGAGGGCCAGCTCACCATGGAGAAGACGCCCAGCTATTTTGTCACCAATGAGGCCCCCAAGCGCATCCATTCCATGGCCAAGGACACCAAGCTGATTGTGGTGGTCAGGAACCCCGTCACCAGGGCCATCTCCGACTACACCCAGACGCTCTCCAAGAAGCCGGAGATCCCCACCTTTGAGGTGCTGGCTTTCAAGAACCGGACTCTCGGGCTGATCGATGCCTCTTGGAGTGCCATCCGCATTGGGATCTATGCTCTGCACCTGGAGAGCTGGCTCCAGTACTTCCCGCTCTCCCAGATCCACTTTGTCAGCGGGGAACGGCTCATCACGGACCCTGCCGGAGAAATGGCCAAAGTGCAGGATTTCCTGGGCCTCAAGAGGGTGGTGTCGGAGAAATATTTCTATTTCAATAAGACCAAGGGGTTCCCTTGCCTGAAGAAGCCAGAGGACAGCAGTGCCCCCCGGTGCCTGGGCAAGTCCAAGGGCCGAACTCACCCCAAAATTGATCGGGATGTAATTCTGAGGCTCCGGAAATTTTACAAGCCCTTCAATGTCATGTTTTACCAAATGACGGGCCAGGATTTCCAGTGGGAGCAGGAAGAGGGGGATAAGTGATGCTGTGGCAGGCAGAAAGAAGTTGTCTCCTATCCAGAGGTAAATGAATTGTCATCAGCAGTATGTGTGTGTGTGCATGTGATGAAACACTTCTGTAGGGCCTGATAGGGTTGCAAAACTGGACTTTGGGTTCCTGGAAGGCTTTCCCATTGGAAAAGAACCTCTAAGATTCTGCCTGGGGTTTCTCCAGATGCACTTCTTAGGGCAGGGGGAGACAACCAGGTGTGTGGTTGGACTCCAGTTCCCATCAGCCCCAGTGGACAGCCTGGTCAATGGTTGGGAATGATGAGAGTTGGGAGTTCAGCAATGTCTGAAGGGGGTCACTGTGCTGGCTACCCCTGCCTTAGGGCTTCCATCAGTGACTCACTTTCTATTGACTGCAACGAAAGGGAGGGGCTCCAGGACACAGTTGGAGAATTTCTCCTTCCCTCGGAGAAAGTTTTTTTGCCAGGGTTAGTTGAAATTGCACCTCTTCTGGGGAAGGTGCCTTATAGCTCAGAGGTAGAGCACCTGCTTGGCATGAAGAAGGTCCTGGTTCAATCCCCACTGGTGGCATCTCCAGGTAGGGCTGGAAGAGACACCCTGCCTGAAACCCTGGAGAGCCTTTGCTGCTAGCCATTGTGGACGACACTGAGCTTGATGGACCAGTGGTCTGGCTTAGTGTAAGGCCGCTTCCTCTAGCCTTCCTAAGTTCAAGCCAGGCTGCCCAGTTTCCTGCCTGTCATAGCTACCTCCCTGGTCTTCCCTCAGCCCATGTAAGTGGGTATGAAAACAAAGCTTTGTAAAGAAGAAAGTTTAGAATCATGGAACTGTAGAGACCCAAAGTCCAACCTCCTGTCATACAGGAATCACAGACCTACATTGGCTTCCAGTATGTTTCTGAGCTCAATTCAAATTGTTGGTGCTGACCTTTAAAACCCTAAACAGCCTTGGCCCAGTATACCTGAAGAAGTATCTCTACCTCCATCATTCAGCCCAGACACTGAGGTCCAGCACTGAGGGCCTTCTAGCAGTCCCTAACTGTGAGAAGTGAGGTGACAGGTAACCAGGCAGAGGGCCTTCTTGGTAGAGGCACCCACCCTGTGGAATGCCCTCCCATCAGGTGTCTAGGAAATAAACAGCTATCTGACTTTTAGAAGACATCTGAAGGCAGCCCTATTTAGGGAAGTTTTTAATGTTTGATGTTTTATTGCTCTAAATAATAATAATAATAATAATAATAATAATAATATTCTGTTGGGAGCCACTCAGATTGTCTGGGGAAACCTAGCCAGATGGGCAGGATATAAATTGATGATGGTGGTGGTGGTGGTGGTGGTGGTGGTGGTTATGATGAATCCACGACAGCTTGCCATCCAACTTCCATATAAAAACCTCCAAGGAAGGAGAGTTTACCATCTTCCGAGGGAGTCCATTCCACTGCCATTCATGTATTAGGGGAGTGGGGTATTTGCGGCAGTTCATTTCCACATCAGTCCATTTTAGTCCCCCTCTGGTTTTTTAAATGAGAGGTTAGAGCCGTTTTCGCAGCTGTTTTTCTTTCCCCGCATCTGTCAGCCTGGCCTCGTTGCCACAGATGCACGTGCATGATGCCTATTGCCAAACGCCAGGCTCAGCTTTGATTCTGGCATGCAGACGCCCTCTTGATCAAGCTAAATACTGGAAATGCCACGGAATGCAGCTATGGCTCCGTAACGAGGCAAAGCCACCCCGGGGCTGAGAGCACATCATGCGCTTCATTACCCAGTCAAGTGGCCCCCGAGCTTGGGATCAGGAAAAAAGGTGCTAAATTCATTTGTCAACTTTTGGCAGGAGGCTGGGCTCCAGGATGGGACCATTAGTTTCCACACAAGTAAATGTCGGTTCACATTAGCCCGATTAGGAGTAAAAACAGCATCTGACATAAAACATTCTTTCCTCCCCCCCCCCCGCAATCTCCACCCCCCACTCAAATTATTATTGCATGAAGATTGGAAATCTGCACCAGGGCTGACTTTAAATTGTTTCACATGTTATTAAACTGTCATTTCCTCTGCTAAATGAGAGCCATGTTGTTGTGCAATTTAATTCACAGTGATGAATGGATTCAGGTGAAGGACTCATTTTTAACTCTTACCAGGTTTGAGCTCCTCATTGACTAGCTGGGGGATGCCCCTATTGAAAAAAAACACACCAGTGTTCAGTGGAGGGGAAATCACTGGGCACAACTGCGCCCTCATCATGCAACTCAGCATGATTCCCTACCCCCACAATCCTGACCCCATGGTAAAATGAAGCATGTTGGATAAATACAGTGGGAGTCGTGTAGCCACCCCTCTGCTCAGGACCAAGACAGTTTGCTAGTCAAGTGGGAGTTGGAACTATGCTGTAAAATTGGAGCAATGGCACTCACCTGCTGCTCCTTTGTCATCTTGCACCAGCCAGAACAAAACAGTGACAAAGTTTCTTTGGTTCTTCCTCTAGGTGAGAAATGGCAATTGGAGATCAGCTGATGGAGGGGGAACATTCAGGTTACAAGAGGCCAATATCAGGACCATTAAGAAAAACAAATAGGAGAATAACTTAAAAAGTGGAGTGGCCTGCCAGCCACAGCTCTTCAAACTAAACACACACATGAGCTACAGCAACGTAGCCATAGCTCTTTGCAAAGCCAAAGAGATCCTCATGTGTGGGACTTTGGAGCCATAGACAAGCTGGAAGGTGTGCAGAGGAGGGTGACCCAGATGACAAAGGGTCTGGAAACCAAGCCTTATGAGAAACGGTTGGGGGAGTTGGGCATGTTCAGCCTGGTTAAGAGAAGACTGAGAGCATGGTATGATAGCCATCTTCAAATAGCTGATAGGCTATCACATGGAAGATGGAGCAAGCTTGTTTTCTGCTGCTCCAGAGGCTAGGGCAGGCTTCCTCAACCTCCGCCCTCCAGATGATTTTGGCCTACAACTCCCATGATCCCTAGCTAGCAGAACCAGTGGTCAGGGATGATGGGAACTGTAGTCTCAAAACATCGGGAGGGCCGAGGTTGAGGAAGCCTGGGCTAGGGCCTGAATGACAAGAAAGGAGTTTCTGACATTAGGAAGAACTTTCTGACAGTAAGGGCTATTCGACAGTAGAAGAAGAAGAGTTTGGATTTGATAGCCTGCTTTATCACTACCCGAAGGAGTCTTAAAGCGGCTAACATTCTCCTTTCCCTTCCTCCCCCACAACAAACACTGTGAGGTAAGTGGGCTGAGAGACTTCAAAGAAGTGTGACTAACCCAAGGTCACCCAGCAGCTGCATGTGGAGATGCGAACCCAGTTCAGGGTTAACCACTACACCACACTGGGTCCCAGAGGGAACGGACTCCCTCAAGAGGTGGTGGACGCTCTCCTTCACTGGAGGTTTTTCAACAGAGTTTGGATGGCCAGCTGTCAGGGATTCTTTAGCTGTGATTGCTGCATTGTGTGGGGTTAGCCTGGATGACCCTGGAGATTCCTTCTGACTCTACAGTTCTATGATTTTATGTCTTGGCTGTCTCTAACTGCTGCCTTTCTCCTCCTCACTCCACACAGAATCTGCCTGAGTTGGGGAAAGGGCCGGACTTGCCTAGCCTGAAATCTGGGTCCAGAACTGGCCACCATAATTGAAGGGAATTTGCTCAATGGACAAAGATGGGGGCAACACCATCCCTTTTGCACCTGGACAATCGCCTCCTTCCGCCCCACATTTCCAGACCAGCAGGATCCTGAGCATAAAGGACACACCGAGGGAAGACCCTCTTTGGCCACTCTTGGTGGAGTCAACTGATCCTCTTTGTGCATCCAGAGAGGAAGAAGGATTGACTGAGACCTTGGCAGGAGATGCTAGGAGCTTCTTTCTGTCCAGGGTCCCTTTGCAGCAGGAGGTGGCCACTGTGCTGGGGAAATGCCCAGTTGATGCGAGTGAAGGGCAAGAGCCATTCCACACACACCCTGCATCCTGCACCATACATTCAGATGTTTATTTTTGATATGGGTGGAACCCCTGAGACTGACTTCGGGAGCGGCCCCACAAGGCCAAAGGGAAGGGAAGGCCTGGGTCTCGCCCACCCAGAGATTCAGGAAATCTGACTAGCATCCCAGTGTTCTTCCCAAGCACAAAAAAGTGGGGCTATTTACGTGTGTGCGTGTGTGTTGTTTTTTTACTGTTCATGTGACCCACCCTCCACCTCTGTGGAGAAGTTGCTGGCCTGGAGTCTCAGCATACTGGTGAGCTCCCAGTGCAAAGAGCTGATGGCATCTGGGGGATTTATTCTTCCTGGCAGTTAGCCTGCATCAGCCACACTGGTGAAAGTCCTCAGCTCCACCCATCCGCTTTTGCTACGCAAGAAGACCTCCTCATTCACCACCAGCTCAGAAAGCACTCCCTTGGATTTGGGCTTTTGCCTCCCCTCTTTAAATGTCAGCATTCCCAGCACACAGAAGATTGAATTTTGTATTTGATTTCAATTAGCAAAGCATAAATTATATTTAATTTTCTACTCACAGAGACTGGATGAGTCATTGTCCTGGAAAGCTGGGGGAGGGGGGAGTTCAGAGATTGACAATGGGAGCATTCATCGCCCAGGAGCTAAATTGCTTAAGCTGCCTCCCTCTTCCATCCATTCGCTGTCTTCACGCCTCCCCTCCCCCCTCTGTGTCATCACCCTCTACCTGAGAGATATGGAAATACCAAGCGTGAATCTGGAGCCAAACCTGACTAAACAATAAAAACCTTGTCATGGCAGTTGCCTTTCTCTGCTCCCTTTATGAGGTGGGCAGGGGGGTGGGGGAGGGCTGGGCTTGCTGCATTTGCCACTGTTGTTTCCAGGGAGGTGGGGGATTTGATCGGCCAGCAGGAAACCTGACAAAGCCACTCTCTGTTTTACCTGAGGAAGGGAGGATTAAATATGAGGTAGTGAAAGAGCACAAAGCACAACAGACACACACACCCTTTGAATTTTAGCTGGGGCTATTTGTGTCAACAGAAGGAAGCCTTGTTGCCTCTTTGCTAGACAGAGCTGGACCTTGATTGGAGAACTACAGGTGTGGGGTGAGGCAGGAGGAGAGGTCCAAGGAGGAACCGTGGCACTTATCCCACATATGTCTCCATCCTCTTATTTCTCCCAAAGTCTGCAGTGCTTCTGAATGCCAGTTGCTCAAAACCACAGGGGGGGGACACAGTGTTTCCCATTCAGACATCTAGTTGGTCACTGTGAGAACAGAGTGCTGGACTAAATGGGCCCATTTGGCCTGATCCAGCAGGCTCTTTTTACATTCTAAAAGTGCTCAGGAAAGTTTCCTTCTTCGTTCTTGCCACTAACCCTGTGAGACAGGGCAGCAAGAATGAAAGACTGGGACTCCCTTGAAACCGGCGGAAGCACTGTGAGCTTCATTGCCAAGTGGAGATCAGAACCCAGTCCCAGCCACCCCAGCCTCTCAGCTGCCTTATCTTGCCTCTTCAGCTCCTGATGTAAGCTATGGAGCTGCCTGTCTCCTTGCCCTGCACAGGAAAGGGCCCCTCATCTCAGTGAGGCTCAACTCTAACATCACACCAAGCTATGATTGGCACTAACCACAGTTCTGCATGATCTGAGCTTCCCAGAGTGCAATGGGTAGATGGTGGTGGCTGCTTGCCTGCTTTTGCTCTCCATCTGTTCAGCTTCATAAATCCATGTGAGGAGGAGCCATGGCCATAATGGTGACTTGTGACTCCACCTGCCAACCAGCTTGTGGTTTAGCAGGTCCTTCATGAACTGTCCACTTTGAAGCTGATGGAAGTTCAGACCTGCAAGATATTCCACAGCTGGGTTTTGCAGGGCATCTGAATGCAGCTGTGGCGATGCCGTTGCCTGGACTTCCTGGCTAAAAGGAAAGTGGGTAAGGTCAGGTCTGTTAAATCCTCCCCTTGTGCTGCATAATGACCCCAAAGGGAAATAGGTTTGGAGGTTTCCTGTCTGGCATCCACTTATCCCAGTTCAGGAAGCTGGGATTAGCTATTTCACAACCTCATGCTATTGTGTCATCTGATAAAAAGCAACTGGGTTTTTCCCCTCTCTCTTTTTTTTAATCAACAAAATGAAGAAGTAGTGAACTATAAAATTGCTAATTATTTTCTAGTAAATTTACTTTTGAATAACTTGAGACACCAATTACAGGCACCATTAAGCACTATTAGCGGTGGGTGTTACCAAAGCAGGGTGGAATATTCATTAGGCAAAAGAGAAAGGTTTTGGTGCCAAAGCCCTTCCTGCTCAGGAAGCATCTCTGAGGGCACTCACTCTCCTTGTAGCCACTCCACGCCTCCACCAGACGTTAAAAAAGTCACCAGAGGTTCAATTAGATATCAAATGACAATGTGGTGGCATTGTGTTAGGCAAACAGGCAAATATTTTGAGTAAGGTTTTCAGCTTCAGTTAGGCAGATCCTTGCAGCTGTACAAAATAATCACCAGAATTAAGATGAAAGCAAGGAAAAGGCAGAAAACTCTCCTCTTTGTGTGCCCTTTGAAGATGCAAGGGCCGTTGTACTTTTAGATAATCAGACAGAGGGCTGTGCCCACCTGCTGTTCCCTCGAAAGCTTTGCAGGGCTCTGCCATCAGTGTGCCAAGCAGAAAGCTGGCTCCCTTCCCCCTCCTGCCTAGGCTGGTGTCCCACAGTTGGAGCCACTGCCCAAAATAAAGTGTGGGTCTTGCTATTAAAGGAAAGCTTCTCCCCCACCACCCACAAAGAGCACCAGCCTTGGGTGAGACAGCAACAGAGTCCTGAGAAGTGGAAAGTGAAATCTGTGTACATTTGAGCTTGAATGACAAAGGCCACAAGACTCAGAATGTCTGTTGAATTGATTCATGCATGGCATGAACCACACTTATGAAGAGGTACATTCCTTGCTCGGTCACTCATTCAGGACTGGGATGGATGTTTCCCATTATATTTGTCCTATCCTATGCAGATACATCACCACCCTCTCTTTCTTTCCATTTGAGCGTTGCCGGATGCTTATGGTATAAGCCTCAGATAATTGAGGCCTCAGTATAGATCAGGGTTGGGGGAATCTCAGGCCTGGGAGCCAAATGCAAAAGCGTAGAATGGAAATGGTAGGAGTCCCTCATGGGTTGGCATTCTTCACAATGGCAGCATTTGGAGCAGAGGCAGACCTTTATAATATGCCACCCAGTGCGAGGCCATTTGATGCCCTCCCCACAGCCCTTGCAGCCCTGGCTTAAGCCAAGCCGGACTTTGAGAAGGAGTCATGAGGCTCTGGCAGGGGTCTAGAGCCCTCACACCACCTTCCCAAAGCCTGAAAGTGTTTGCCTGGCTTTGGAAAGGAGGAAGGAAGACTTTTGGACCCTGTCAGAACCACCATGCCTCCTTTCCAAAGCCAGACAAGCACTTGCTGGGCTTTAGGAAGGCACGCTCCTCAGCTGCACGCCTGGTGTAGGCTCACACCGCCCTAAATCTGCCTCTGATTTAGAGCAGGCTTGGCTGCAACTCCCATCAGCCTCAGTAAGCATGAGGGATGATGGGAGTTGTAGTCCAAAACATCTGGAAGTCACTTGATTGGCTACCCCTGATTTAGAGTTTGCAAAAACGGAGCACGACTGGTCGTGCTTCCTGCCTAACAAGCTTTCAAATGACAATTCCTTTCAGAAATAGTGTCTTTTCTCCTTAATGGGATGGTGAGTCACAAGATTTCTCTATTCCCTTTCATCTGGAGATGAAGTTCTATGTGAAAAGGTTGAAAGAGTTTGGTATATTTAGTCCAGAAAAGAGGTGATTAAGAGGTGCAATAGCCATCTTCAGAATCTGAAGGGATGTCAGGAAGTTGAAGGAGCAAATTTGTTTTCTGCTGCTCCAGAGGGCAGGTCCTGATCTAGAGGGTCCCAGTTGCTAGGAAGGGGATTGAGGCAAAACAGGAGGAAGGAAGTCCTAATGGTACAGGCTGTGGAGCAGTGGAGCAGTGGAGCAGGGAAGGCCTGGGAAGTTGGCCAATTCTCCCTCTTCAGAAGTTGTAAGTAGAGGCGTTCTATCAGAAATGCCTTGGATCTCATGAACTAAGAACACAAGAAAAGCCTGCTGGATGAGACCAATGGCCCTTCTAGTCCAGACTCCTGTTCTCACAGTGGCCAATGTGTTGCCTGTGGGAAACCAGTAAACAAGACCTGAGCACAAGAGCTTTTCTCCTGCCTGTGGTTTTCAGCAACTGGTAATTAGAAGCACTGCTGCCTCTGACCATGGAGGCAGAGCATAGCCATCATGGCTCAATAACCATGGATAGCCTTCCCCTCCATGAATTTGTCTAATCCTCTTTTAAAGCTGTTGGCCTTCAGTGCCTCCTGTGGGAATGAGATCCATAGTTTAACTCTGAACTGCATAAAGAAGTACTTCCTTTTGTCTGTCTTGTATTTTATAATACTCAGCTTCATCAGATGTACACAAGTACTGAGCAGGTAAGGTTGGACTGGAGGAACTTTGAAGTCCCTTCCAACTCTATGATGATTGATTGATTGGGCATTTCCACTCTCCCCTGAACTTGAGCCTAAGGGAAAATGCTGTCTGGTGCTGTACAGCATTAAAACAAAAGCAGCTTGTGAGAAAAGCAAAGAATTCTGGGAGTTGTGTCAAGCATCTTTGCAGATTTACTTAAAGAGCAGATCTGCACAATTTGTGATGCACCAAAAGGAACACATCCCTGTCTCCATGGGATGTGGTCTGCCAGAATCTTGAGACACCCCTGCTCAGTTTTTGCAGTCCCAGACAGGCACACGAGCCCCAAAAACCCATTGACTCCATACATGAGTGGCCAGATGGATGCAGCCCCTGGTGGGGGCATATGCAGCAGGTGCAAGCCTGTAAAGCAACACCAACAAGCTACTCTCTGTGCTTTAAGTACCATAGCAGAGGCAGCAGGAACAGAACCATCTTGTGCCTACATTCAGGGAACAGAAAGGCTTTCACCTTGGTTTTGCCAGAAGGGATCCTACAATACCTTCATCTTTTTCTAAAGGACCCTCTGAACTAGCTAGGGCTATCATTGCCCTCAGGAACCCCAGCAACCAGGAAGCTAAAGGGCTAGCTTGTTGCAGGGAGCCATGAGGCAGGAGGAGAGATGGAAATCTCCACCCTCTTTCGATGATAGATAGATAGATAGATAGATAGATAGATAGATAGATAGATAGATAGATATAGATAGGCAGGCAGGTATTATAATCATCAACATCATCAGTGCTTTTTTTCTAAAAAAATGTTTAGGGGTACTCTCATTTTCCTACTCATATTGAAATACTGCCCCTCAATGAGGCCAAACTTAGATTCACAAAATGTTTAGGGGAATGTGTACTCCTGCGTACCCCCAGAAAAAAAGCACTGATGATAACAACAACAACAACAACAGATCCCGTTTTATATGTATCTCAAGGCTATTAACAAATGTGTGATAAGAACAGTAGAGAAAATAACTAATGGGGTTTTTAAACAATAAAAAATGAACAGGTGTGGCAGGTGCCTTCATTCACATGGAAAAGCTTGTCAAAACATCAATGTCTCCAATTGTTTCCAGAATGTACAGACAGTGGGCACCTGTCACATCTCATCAGGAACTCTATTCCACAGAACTGAGGAAGTCGATGTTGGAAGCCCAGCTCCAAGTTACTGTTATGAGGCAGGCATCCTTTCCTGCAGTCTGAAAGGCCAGTTTTTGTTCGTTTATCTGTGACATTTGTCAACCACCCAGCAAGACGAAGTTAT